CCTCCTGCCGGAAACACTGCCTGGCTTGCCATGACCACTTCTTTGTTGCGACCTCTTCTTCACTGAGCTAGCAGAACCGTCACGCTTTTCCTGTATCAGTGAACCGCTTCCTTCTCCTGATGAAACCACTCCGTCTCCATCACTGCGAACCTCCGCCCAACTAACCGCTTCCGTTTCTGGTGGAATTGTCGTCACTTCCTCTAAGACTAACCGTCTACTGCAGTACTGGCTGTCGTAACCAACCCTAAGTGGCACTTTCCTGTGACGATCTGTCAGGATCATTCTCTGGAGGTCAATCTTCATGCCTTGGCCAAGTAAGAAATCCACGCCGATGATGACTTCATCGACAATGTCTGCCACTATAAACTTAGTGTACGAGGCCCAACCGTCGATTATTACCTCGCATGGTACTTCTCCTAATACTTGGGTGCATTCACCAGTTGCTGCAGCTTTGCTCCAGGTAGTGGCTTCACATAAAAAGTGTCCAAATCCGGTCGAATAATGGAATGTGTCGCTCCAGTATCCACTGTCAGTACTCTCTCCAGCCCATTCACACATCCACCAATAGTGAGGTTGCTCGCATTCCGGCCAATTTGTGAGACGGAGATTATGGGCCCTTCAACTTCTGGAGCCAGCAGGCGGCCCTTCCTTCTGGCTCGTTTCAGTTTAACGACTGATTGGAGTTGGCTTCGTCTCCTTCAGCCCTGCGTTTGCGTCCTGCTGAATTGTTGAGCGCATTGGAACTTGCACTGCAATCGCGGGCGAAGTGGCCTGGTTTTCCGCAACTAAAACATTTGCCAGAGCCATGCTTTTTCTTGCCCAGCAGATGGATAATCTTCTTCAGCATTTCATTTGTCTCGTCCGGTGTTTCCACTTCCACGCGTAGTGCTTTGTAGGCTGGTCTACTTAGGAGCGCCGCCGTTTCACGCGTCTGAGCATACGAGACGGTTTCAGCAAATGTTGCCTTTGGATTCGCGTACGTCTCTCGCTTGGTATACATGTCCCGCATTCCGTTGATGAACCTCTGGATTTTTACTCTTTCAAGGTGCTCACCAGATGCGTCTCCAATTGCCAAATGAGCCAGCCTTTCAATCTCAGAGGCGAATTCCTGTAAAGTGGCGTTGGATTTCTGGCAGCGATTCTCCAGCTCCATCTGGTAAATCTGTCTCCTGTGCTCGCTACCATAACGTCTTTCCACTGCACCCATTAACGCATCGTAACTGTTCCTTTCATAATCAGGAATAGTCTGCAAGATTTCCGCTGCAGGTCCTTTTAATGCAACGAACAGTGCAGCGGATTTATCCTCCATGCTCCAGTGATTTGCTGTAGCTGTCTTCTCAAACTGGAGCTTAAAGACTTGGAAAGGAATCGTGCCGTCAAAGGATGGAGTTTTTACCTTGGGCGCGCTGGTCGAAGAAGGTGGGCGATTCAACTGCATATCTCGGAGGCGACCTTCCAACTCTTCTACCTTAGCCTCGACTTTCTCCTGTCTCTCTTCAAGTTTGTCCTGTATTTGTGTAATTTTTTCATCCTGTGCTTCCAGCTGTGATGATATGCGTGCCTCCTGTGCCTGTAGCTGAGTTTCTAACCGGGATGACACCTGCGATGACACCTGCGCTGATACCTCGGAAGATATACGTGTTTCCAAGGCTTGCATCTGTGAGGAAACGTCTGACGACAACTGCGACCTCTGTTCCTGCATCATCTGTGACATGGCAGCCAATAACGTGTTCATGTCCATACCTGTTGATGAACAAGGAGCATTTTGCTGTTCTTCAACCTTCCCGGATGTCTGCTGCACATCCTTCGACGAACAAGCAGCCTCATCCTTCTGTTCGTCCTTTGCGGATGCATCGTCGGATTTACCCTGGAAGTCGTATTTGTCCACGTCGATGCCTTCAGCTTCCATAGCCTCCCGCAAACGGGATAATAATTCCACTTTTCTTCCGGAGGTGGCCAAATTTCGCTTTTCCAACTCCTGTTTTAGTTTCTCAATCTTTAAGTCCTGAATTTTCGCCATTTTCAGTAGTTTATCCTTCGGGATTTATTTAACAATCCCACTTCTGGCACCAATTGTTAAGGCCCGTTTACATACAACTTTGGCGTTGCGTTGGCGTTGGCGTCGCTTCGACAGCTGACTATGAATACATGCATTTATATGAAAGTCTCCACATAACCAAAGTTGGGCAACGCCAACGCCAACACAACGCAGAAAGATGACCAACTCTCAACTTTTCGCGCGCGTCATTCGTCAGCTGTTCCAAATAATCAAAATTATGTGATTCAATTTTCATTTTTAATCAAATGCGGGCAAGAAATATATTTTTAATGCAATTATTGATGTAAAATTTTGGTTTTTCTGCCGCTAGTATTTTAATTTAGTGACCAAAGTATTCTCTGCTAAGCGTTCATTGTAGCAAGCACGGGCGTTACTCGCGCTGCTGTCAAAGCGACGCCAACGCCGACGCAACGCCAAAGTTGTATGTGGACGGGCCTTTACGATTATCCTTGAACCCTCGTCCGGATTTCCCAAATCCTCCGGTTCGTATCGCTGGATTGTTAAATAAAGGCTAACGATGACCAAATAGTAGTACAATTAACTTTATTGTACAACAAACAACCTTCAATACCTGCCAACACAGTAAAAACACTACAATACTTGTTAAAGCAATTACAACGCTTTACCGAACTTGTTACACACAATTAAACTTATAGCTTGCTTATTCGCAACTCGCTTCTCTGCTCACTTTACTTGTAGCTTGCTGACTTGTAACTCGTAACTAACTCACCTCGCTGTGGCGACGCCCTTATATACCTGCGCTCGTACTTGTGGCAACTCTAGAACGTTCTGAAGTTTATCGCTCGTTCTCTTTCTCTCGCTGTTCGCAGTGTTCAGCCAACTTGACGTTTCTCTTTGTGGAACATTCTACGTGATTCCTCGAACATTCTGCCTATTTCTCGTTGTTCGCTTCGAGTTGCCGCAGTATTCGCCACAATAAGTTATATCAGTGGCAATATTTGTGTGGGCTTTTGTGGGCATTTGTGAAATAGCTTCTAAAACGTATTTTTGCAGGATTTAATCACTTACAAAATTTAGAAAATATGCTGTTTTACATCCAATTACATAACAACAAATATTTTAACAGAAAACAGCTCAATATTTCTATTTATATTAAAATATCAACAATGTTGCCGCCACGAAGATTTCATGCAAATGAACATGTAGCTGTCAAACTACCAAATTGCCGGCAATAGATGGCAAGACATAAGCTCTAATGTATATTGCTCTTGAAGAGCAATGAGCGGTCTCCATTGGTTCTTTATATTCAAATACCATGTTCTGACCGACATCGAAAACATGTTTTCGTTGCTAAAACTGGTTTTCGACTTAAAACTTGTGTTTTCGTCCATGTAAAATCTGTCAAACGAAAACCAGTTTTCGCTGAAAACTACTTGAAAAATCACGTTCCACTCATTCCAATCGGTGTCTTCCGTAGTATTTTTCGACTATTTATCGAAGTGGAAGTCATATTTGATCATCTTTAATACGCCATTTCGAATTTACAGGTCTATTCTGCGCTGGTAATAAAAACTTTGTAACCGGTAAATAAAGTTCCTGTCCATTTTTAAACCCTTTTCGCATTCTATGTGGTTACAAGAGAGAGAGACTTAGTTTACGATATAGCAAAACGAGTGGGAAAATGTATCGATTTTTCTTTACGATATTTTGGAAAAATTACATTTTTATTAAATAATATCAAGTTTGATCATCCGTTTATGTAATTTTTATTTTCATTGCATGATTATGCAAAAGAATAAGGTATCATTTTCTTGTTAATTGTGTGAAATAGCCAGAACAACCGCAGTGATTTGAAGTCGATGTTTATCGAAAGCATGCTGTGAAACATACAAATAGTAGATATCTAAATGTTATGCACAAATTTACTTTAAAAGAACTAGCGTGAAACTGACTTATTATTTGAAAATTTATCTAAATTATTCCAATTATAAAATTGTGATGTAGCTTTATTCGAATTGTAATACGCATCTTCCGATTAAAATGGGTCGATCTTTGTAAATTTTAATTGGAGATTATTCAATATTATCAAAATCACTCTCTACGAACTTAATTTTTACATATTTCGTCTGTTTTCCCTTAATTTGATAAAATACTTCTTCCTAGTTACGACTTAGTTGCAGCTGCAGCCGAAACTAAATTTTAAGTTGGTACTTAGCCAGAAAAGTCGAAACTAAGGCGACTATGAATAGCTTTAGTTATGACTTAGAATAGTTTCGACTTAGTTGAGTACTAAATATGATTATGAATATGCGCTATAAACTTTATCCTGTGGAGTAGTAAAAGAAAATTGAGACGTTTCAACATGTCCAAAAAATCGAGTTCTCGATATTGTTGAATACTCTAGGAAAGTATCGATATTAGCAAAGAACGTAAGCGCGTTTCTTTGATATTAGGCCTTGGTAACGGCGCAAATTTTTTGGCGCTGACACACTAACTCTAGTTCCACTGCCGGAATCAGAACAGCGCTTCTTTAGGCTAAAGCGCATTTCATTTTGCATATTTCTGCACCACGACAAATTTATATATATGGTGATACCGTTGCTGCACATTTTATAATTGACATTTCACTTTGTGCGCTCTTTGCTGGTTCTTTGAGGCTCCCGGTGTCATCAGTGGTTCGGTATTGCTGGCGCCATTGTGTGAAAATCGGTATCAGCGTCCGTAACTCACCTCTCGGTATCAGCAAAATGGCGCAGCGCCGGACTGTGTTATCCACGTCTAATCGATATTCCGTACTGGATAGTCGTAGTGTTCCATCTTTATACGTCTTGAATTGAATTATATTTGAGAACGGTGTTCACATTATAAAATTTTATAAAACCAAGATTGGTTTTCAAAGAAAGTGGTTCGGATTAATTTTGCTAAGTTACATAAGGCGATCTTTAAACGGAGCATCTTCGTCGGGGCCCACGCAAGTCAAATGGATCCAATGTGAGAAATACAATATTGGAATATTGAAAAAACATTTTTAAATTACGTATCCATATATAATTACATAGCGTAAATGCCCCAGTATTTCAAGCTGCTACAGCTGCTGCTGCTGCAGCGGCGGCCTCAAAAAATTTCAATTCTAAAGAGAACTCTGAGGAATTTGTAGAGTCGGAAAATTCGGATGCTTGTCAGTGGACAATGGAAGAGAGCAGTCTCATAGATGGCGAGATTCAGCGTGCGGCTAGATCCAATGAAGACACTGGTGAATACCCTCGCTTTGGTTGGGTAGATATCACTAAACCATTCTTTGAGGCATGCTCAGAGTTGAATTTAGGAGAATTGGCTCAAGACATGCTCTTCGGACTATTTGAAGCAATGTCCGCAATTGAAATGATGGACCCCAAAATGGATGTGGGAATGGGTTATAATAAACAAGATGCACCACCACATACCTTTGAATCTGCGGTAGCGGTAATATTATTTTGCTAAACAATTACTTCCATAGCTTAAATAATTTTAATACAAAGTAGGCAGGAGTTTTGAAACTAGATAATTTGACCAATGAAGAAATAATAGGCACCTTTGACGCACTCTTCGCATGTCTCGTTTCTTGGTTAGAGGGGAATTCTATGGACCAAGTATTGTTCACTTGTCTTTACTTGCATCAGCCAAGCAGTATCAAAGACAAAGCGCTTCGGACCTTCTGTCATGCTGTTCGAAATCTTATTGTTATCATAAAGAATATAATTATCATTAGCAGCGTAAATGAAGAAGAAGATTTTCAACTGTATGGAAATTCATCTCTGTTATCTGCGGAAGATTGCCAACCAGCAAGTGTAGCTTCTCAGCTAAAAGAAGCCGAAGATGACTTGGTACGACTGAGCAAGACTGAACATCAACCAGAATCCACAATGGCCATTGTGCATCGAATGCGCTTTATGCGACATTTTTATCAATCTATTTTCCAATTCGATTGTGTCATGGCAACTGCACCTATAGAATCTAATATGAATGAAATTTATAAAAACTTAAATGCTTCTCTCGAGTTAGTACCACAAATAAAACGCACCATTGAAAAAGGTATCCAACCTGCACCAAACTGTAAGTGTTTAATGGCGTTAAAAAATTATTGTTTTGAATGATTGTAAATAAGACAACTTTTATAACAGCTGACTCACCAAATCCAATAGGATTTTCGCCTCGAATACATGATCGCAGTCAACCACCAACTTTTCCGCGAAACGTAAAAATCCGTGACCGCCCAACTAGCTTGGTATTTCTTGAAGAACTGGTGCATAGATTAAAATTTGCGTGCAAAATAATTCGAATGCGAGATTACTACACCGCTCTGGTAACAATTTACTACCACCTAATAAGAAGAGGCGAAGACTAATTGAAAATAATAATTTTAACCCTGTAGAATTTCTTCATCGAATTCAGCAAAAAATCTGGACAATGCGTTCTCTCTCGCAGTGTACTTCAGGGTCTATTTATTTCTAATCGTCGACTTATTTTCGGAACTATTCCAATTAAGGATTACCTTTGGGATTCAGTTCGAGCTTTTAATTCTCCTCCAGTACTGAATCCAAAACACCCCCTGGGGTCAGATCAGAAGATACAAATGTATTTAGATACATTCTTTCGGTACTGCATTAGTTTGAACACATTTACGCAATTTATTCGCATTTGTGGTTTCAATCGAGCTCGGCAGCGCGATAAACTGGCACGTTTTATTGATAGTTTTGATAATATTCAGGTAGAAGCGGCACGCTTAGACTCACACTTAACTATTATGGCAAACGAAAAGGCAGCCGAAGGAAATGAACTTCACGCCACAGCACTCAAGCATAGCGCTCAGTTTGCCACCTGGGTATTGTATAACTGTTTTCGCGCAATGATGTTGTATTTGATGTCAGGCTTTGAATTAGAACTCTACTCGGTGCATGAGTTCCTTTATATTTATTGGTAAAATTACAAATAAACGCAATAATTCCGATTTAATCATTATTTTTTTAGGTATCCCTACGAATTGCTAATTGGCTTCATTGTGTCGGCTTTAACTCGAACTGAAAATAATCTTATAGTACAAGAAGAATATGCAGAGCACCAAAGCAAAATTCAAGGAAGTGGCAGCATGAAAAATCGTAAGCCAAAGCCAAAAAAGAATAAGAAACAACAGAAGCCTTATCGGCACGAGATTGTTTATTATCATGCCCTGTTAAGTATGTGTGGTGGATTCTATAAAGCCTTGGGAGCATTGACGAAAGACGGCCGCATACGGCAACCCATGCCAAAGTTTGACAACGAGGAGATACGTTTCAATCGAAGATTTGCACCTTTCGCCACGTTAACAAGTCCACCTCCGGTCTCTTATGCGGAATTCAAGAGTATAAGGGAACATATGATGCGGCCGCCGTCGTCGGAAATATATGCAATTGCTGCCAAGCATTTTGACCAAGCACGTAATGTGTTGGAATCCATACAAAATCCAGAACAAGAGGTATTGTGTCTGTTCTATAGATTCTGCAGCTAGCCCTTAATAATTAAACATTTTGCTCTGTATTCTCATGTCAATGTTTACAGATCTTGGATATGCTTCACGTGGCCAAAGTAAATTATGTTGTGATGAATGTATTAGCAAAAGGTCATCAGAAGGACTCGAAGACTCAGCCAGATTTTGACTTCTCCAAACATCGTCACTTTCCTATTATAAAATTGAATTAAGATGCATATTATACCCTGTGATGAAATGTTATATAGTTGATGCAGTGCATCACTCCCACCAATCATTAGATATATCTTAACAGACCGAAAATCGGTGTGGTATAACTTTATATCGTAGATTTCAAACCAAAATGATTCTAAATACACGGAAACCATGATGTACAAGTGATGTACGCATACATTGAAAACTTTACTTTTTATTTTCATTTAAAAAAAGGTCCTGTTTAACTATATATTCAAAAGCATAACCTTTTCCAATTGGTAGGGGGCAACTTTTTGAACAAGTATACACAGCCAATGTACCCCAGTCAAGGTGGTCATCCTTCAACAAATTAAGCATTTGTGGCATTATTTGAAACTCAAATTGGCGCTCACTGCCGCATATCTCACAATTTGGAATTTGAAGTTGTTCTGCGATTGATTGTTCCACATCAGCTATCCATAGCGGTTTACCTCCACGTTTATATCGCAAAATTTGGTCGGGATCTTTATTAACGACTTTTTTGAATTTCCGGAAAATTTTATCATCGACAGTGTCAGATTCACTTGCATACTTGTCCAATTCAAAGTCTGCCACATCTTTTAATGTGCCAGTTTTTCCAGCCGCAACTAAATTCTGATATTCTTCTAAACTTTTCTTTTCCAAGCTCTCATTATCTCTATCGCTTTCCGTTTCTTCGCTTGGGTCATTGACTTCGACGGCGATTTCCCATTCTGGAAAGGTAACACAGGGTAGGAATATATCGGTATTTTTATTTTCGCCTTGATTCTCAGCCATGCAAACTTTTTTGTGATGGGGCCAGTGAGCACGTTGGTGTTTTGCAGAGCAGTAATTCACCATGCGACAACGGCCGCAAGATAAAGGTCCCAAACAGCCACACGCTATACACAATTTTTTAGAGGGATTTATTTCTGGCTGTTGAAAGGTATATGTAAATAGCTGTTTTGCTAAATTTTAAATATCAAAAATTACCAAAGGATCTCCCTCCTCCATAGGTGGCTTTTCAGAGTAAAATTTGTTTTTCCTAGGAAGTTGACTTCGATAAATAGTTAAATTTCTGGGAAGTAAGCATGCACGGTTAATTGTTAATAAAGAAACCAGGGCGCGAATCGTTACATACGATATCGTACTACTCGTCAAGTAAAAACACATTTTTCGGATTATGACACACGTGAAAGTTCACGTTGTCCCATTCAGCTTATATCGCCTGACGTATCACGTAATGTTCTTTCGTATCGTTTTCGATCCGTGAACGTATGTTACGATTCGAGCCCAGATAAAGACGTTATTGGTATCTTACTTTGCCGAGTTGCAGTCCTGGCAAAATGTCGACCGGCATACAAAAATATAAATGGTTCTATGAAAATTGTGTTCGTCTTCAAATGGTGCATAAATCTATGGAATATGTATATCTTAATGATAAAATCCTTTTATAAAAAAGAAATTCTTTTACCTGGCATAAAAACGTTTTGGGCTCCTGGCACGTAACACACAAAAGCTCTCTATTAGTCGGAAGTTGCTCCAGTTCCAACCACGCCGGCTTTCCTCCAACTTTGCTGGGAAAATACCGGTTTGTCAACCATTCCTTGCCGCGTTCTTCAGCAAACCCCAAATCCATATCGCCCATAGTTCTATTAAAATGCAAAAGGGCAAACAGACATTTTTTATCAATTACAATAATTAAAGCTGAAATTAGTCAAGAACGTAAATCTAGGGACACGAATTTCGATACGATACGATACCATATCGATACTTTTGGCATTCGATACCGATATTTTCAACTCGATAGTTTTTAACGATATTTTTTGGAATCGAGTACCAGAACCCTAGTATCGTATCGAATGTCATAAACTCACATTCCAACACTGAGGGAAAAAAAATTTAGAATTAAAAAAACATGCTAAATTTAAAAAATACGCATATGAAAGAGCACCAACCCAACTCGTTTTAGATTTGAGTATATACGTTATAAATTATGCGGTTGTGAAGTGCACAGATGCTTTTTCGTAATTAAGAAGAAAAAAAATTATTTTCATATTCCGTCTGATGGTAGTTGCGATCCCGTACGAGTCCGGACTAGTCAGAAATAGTCAGAATCAGTCAGATTTTACTGGAAATCGATCCCGTACTCGGTTCTCTGACTATTGAGAGGACAAAAAAGAGAGTAAATACGGTTCTCTCTCTGTCAGAAGTTACCAGTTTTAGTCCTAGAATTTTTTGCTGGTAAATGTGTCAAACGATCAGCTGTAGTGTGTTTGGCAGCCAAATTGTAAACAAAAGAAAAGTACACTCTGCTAATTCATGTTGAAAAGTATTTAATTACTTGTTTAAGTGGATTCTAATGAATTTGAAAGTATATTTGGTTATTTACATGTGTGACCTGAGTGTGTTTACATACAAAATAAGCAAAATTTTACACCCAAAATTTTGAGGTTATGTTGAAGTTGACAGAAGTTACCATTTTTTACTAGAAAGCCATGAACCAAAAATACAAGATCACCTAATCAAAGAAGCAAGAAAAAAGTATATTTCTGAGTGTTTTTGACATCTGCCTAAGAATGAAAACAAACAAAGGAAACGAAAAAGGCGCGGTGATTGAGTGCGATTAAATTGGTATTTATTATAAAATATACAAAGTGAAACTTGATGACAATTAGCAAAAAAAGTTCATAAAATATGGTTTTCATGATTGAAAGTGTTTTACAATCGCATATCATTACCACGGGTCGATTTTTCAATGCCAACGTTCTGGCCACAAACGTGCACCCACTTTTCACGCAAATTTACGCCTTTTGGCAAACCAAACATACGCACAAACTTGTTCCGATCACACAGCACTTTATTTTATATCATAAATATGTAATAAACCAAAATTTATAATTAAAATCGCTGCAGAAAACACATTCAATCGCTAAAAAATCACTACGAAGAGGTAGAAGACGGTGTAAACAAAACCGAAAAACGTCAAAAACGCTACGAAAACTTTTTTCTGAAAATCGATTACAAATACAACGATGGCTGATTAGGTGATCTGTAGTCGTTGGTTCATGCTAGAACCCTGCAAAAATCGTTGGACCATGTAGTCTATTTGTGGTATATTGGAGTACTTACAAAAGGGCTCCTCTGTCATGCTGTAGCGGACCAACTCGTGTCTCTGCACCAGCTTATTGTTACCCGATCACTGCTCGTGTTTTAACGACATGTGATTGAAGTTAAGCATTTGAAAGTACATTTGCATGTCTGGCTGTAGCTGAACGTGTAGAGGTGCTAGCTGTTAGTTCTTAGCTCCCAGCATGTTCGGGTTCGAATGTCGTCAGAGGCAACATGTAATCGTGGTACAAAGCTCAATAAAAATATTAAAAATAATTTTTAATTTTTGTTTCTGGTTTTTATTAATTTCAAAAAAAGCATCTGCGAAGTGAAGAACAAAAGCGTGTACAAACGAAAAAATATAACGATAATGTCATTGGAGTATGTTGGGAGTAGTTTTGTGCTACTCTGATGTAATGCAGAGATGGAGTACATGGTCCTGCCCTAGGACATCGCAATGTTAATTGGACCATATTTTTGATATGAATTGTGGTTAATTTTAGAGTACTCCTTGGACCTTCGGGAGTACTCTTTACATGCATGCATGGAGTTGTCGCGATTTTTGCAGGGAAGGTACAAGGTAGATATGATGAATTTTGTCAGTGTTGTGGGAATAGGGCGGTTATGCAGCGTTTTTGCTGCATTTAAAATGCAACATTTAGCACTTTCGAACATATGTTTTCGAAGAGCGTTCATGCTATAGCATTTAGCAAATGTACATTTACGCGAGTTCGAAATCGTATGCTTTTGTTAAACAGCCGTGTTCCAGTCTCTTATTTAGATCCGTATATATTACGATAAATTCTCACGGAAAAGATAATGTGCAAAACCCCTACTGAAAAAGAAAAAAAATAGATACGGATCTAAATAATAGACTGGAACACGGCTGTTTGTCAAAAGCATACGATTTCGAACTCGCGTAAATGTACATTTGCTAAATGCGGTAGCATGAACGCTCTTCGAAAACATATGTTCGAAAGTGCTAAATGTTGCATTTTAAATGCAGCAAAAACGCTGTATTAGTCAATATACATATGTTAGAAAATTGCAAGTAAAAATTTTACTAGCAGGAATTTGCAGAAGTCAAAAAGTAAGGTTATGTTTAAAATTATAATGTAAACAAACTGTTTAAGAGGATAATTTGATGAAACATAATTAGTGAAATGAAAATATGGATGAAAAATTGAAATCTATTGTATATTTTTTAAATTTTATGACGATGGGAACTATTCCCAATTAAAAAGAAAATTGCGCGCCAAAACTTAACCGTCAGAAAGTGTTAAAATGGCAGTAAGTCTAAAGGTCAAAATACAATAGCGCAGTGGCATTGACAGTTTTTAAAATCAGCTGTTACTGCTAATATTGGCAATCACTGCCGCAGCAAAAAATACGGCGTTGTCAGTGACTGCCTTTTTTGACATTCCCTTTTGTTTGTTTACATTTTTGTTGTTGCATTTTAGGCTTCAGTGACGTCAACAGATGTTGGCTGCGTTTCATTTATGTCAAATTCAGCATGCGAAGTTTGCTGCGATGAAGGCAGTGGCAGTGAATTTAGAATTTAGGCTAAACTGAGCAGTACTGCTAGCTGCCACTGCTGTATTGTGAACCGCTTCATTGGACACCACACTTTCTAAAAAAACTGCTGATTTCGAAAAACTGCCGCTGCCACTGCCACTGCGTTATTGTATTTTGGGCTTTAAAGGCATTGGCCCAATGCACGCTTGCTTTGCTTGCTTGGCTTTGAGAACTGTCAAACAATTTTTAAAATCTACTAAAATGTATGAAAGTTGGCCTAGTGGCAGCTTTACTTCACTTGCTTGAAAGTAAAGCAAAGCAAACTAAAGTAAGCAAAGCAAGCGTGCATTGGGCCAATACCTTAAGTTGCAAGTTTTTACTAGTTTTGCGTTCAATAACTTTTCTGAATATTTTCTCTTGCTCTCAATTTTACTCTCTATTTTTCTTTAGCCGTCATCGATTCGCCACTTCGATGCTAGCTATGTTTGAGTTCCGGTCGCTTAAAGAAGAATTTCGCATGTGAAAGCAACAACAAAAGCCGTCATCGATTCGCCAACAGTTAGCGAGTGGTGAAACGAACGACCTCAATGAGGTATAACCAAACTCGCTATCGTCTATCCGTGTTAGCTAACTTTGTTGTTGCTTTCACATGCAAAATTCTTCTTTAAGCGACCGGAACTCAAACATAGCGAGCGAGAAGTGGCGAATCGATGACGGCTAAAGTTAGCTAGCACGGACAGACGATAGCGAGTTTGGTTGTACCTCATTGCGTTCGTTCGTTTCGCCACTCGCTAACTGTTGGCGAATCGATGACGGCTTTTTGCGCTCTCGGTGCAAGTACTTACTGGAAAAGTTATTGAATGGACCTAAAATAAGTGAAACTGAATAAAAATTAGCCAAAGATGTTCATAAAATATGGTTTTCGTGATAGAAAGTGTTTTGCAACCTCGTAGCATTCGCCCACCGTCCTTTTAACCAACGCACTCATTGGAAAGCCTACCCAAACCACACCCAAACTCGTTATCTTGCAAATGTGCCCCGACAACTTTACCGTCAGAAGCAAGGCGAATATATATTATATATGTATAACTTCGCCTTGGTCTGAAGCGTTTGCATTAAGGCGAATTTATACAAGGTGGTGTTACTGGCGAATTTAGATTACAACATCGACAACCACATGTATTTTTTATTGCGGGTGTTATGTAAAATCTAAACTCGCTCCAAAGTTTACATGGATTTTGTTTTTGCTTTTGATGGGTGTGCTGTCAAATCAGTAAAAGCAAAAAAAAAAATACATGTAAGGCGAAGAAATCAGCTGATTTTACAACAACGCCTTGTATAAATTCGCCTTGGTTTGCATCATTCGTATCTTTTTTGAGACTGTCCGCGGCAGATTTTTGATTTCCGCCTCCATGCGGAAAATGAAAGCAAAACAGAAGAAAAGCGGTAAATAAGAGTTTCAGTGGTACTTTGCATAAGAAAAGAACGTAAATCCATTTATATTTACGTTCTTTGGTAACGAGTTGTTCTTTTTTTAAACCGAATACTTCTTAATCACAAATTTTTTATGCAAATTTTTCTGAAACTCTGGCCACTTTTTGAGATGAAAGAAATGTGATAAAGATGAATGTATGCAAGTGAAATGACAAAAACGTAATGCAAAAATTTTAAGTCGCGAAAGCAGCACGCACCGAAAGTTATCCAAAAAATCGCTATTAAATATTTATAAAGTGGGTGTTATTTAATCAGAAAATTGGTCTATAATGCAGTTTTTTTGAAGCTGTATCCGATCGCTGAATGGTTATAGTATTTAAAAAAAAAAATCCTTGGATTCTTTTGGGTTAACTGCTGCGCCAAAAGAATATATTCATGCAATATAGGACGGGTGGGCGAGTAAATGCAGCAAATGCATGCGGAAAACTAAATTTTTATACAAATTCCGTGAAATAAAATGTGTAAAATTTATTCGCAAGATATTTGAGTGCTGAGTATTTCGGAAATTCAACAGCAGGAGGAACTAAAAATAACCACACAACCACCTCCACAAATTTTTTCTGCGTGGACGGTATTATAATACAACTGCGATCGCAT